AAAAATTATATCCATGATATGTAAAATATTAGGCGGCTCGAGGAAAGAAACAGTCAAATGGCGAAGAACTATTCCAGAATATTTGCCGCCTCCAAGTTGAAAACAAGACGGTTTAAGACTCCTGAAGATCAACATCTGACACCTTCCTACCAAATAAGAGGATATCATCCGACGATTAGAAAGCGCAGCACTTTCAAAAAGTTCGTATCCCTGAGCCATCGAACGGAAGCTCTTCAAATGAACATCAGCAAACAGGTATTAAACTTTCGACAGCAGACGTCGCACAAACTTTAAAGTGCTACTGGAATCGATGGATACTCTCGTTAGAAGTTTAAAGCATTAGACGAACAAGGGGTATTTTCGACAAAATGGCATGCAAACCTGCGATGGGTACTGCGAAGACACGAGTGGACTGGAAAACCGATTTGACAGTGCCCTTGCTTGAAAACATACTTCAAGCAGAGCACTTGAATTCTCGGCACATTATTTTACTGATCCTCTAAAAGAAAGATTAAGCAACAGTGATGGAAAAGTGGAACATCAAAATATGTGAGCCCAGTATGCAGAAAAAGCAGTGTAGTTTCAGGCAACTAATTTCAGCTGATTAATGATATGCGAACAGAGAGCACTTCCGATACAAGTCCCATATTACATCTGGCAATAAATAATGCTTTCCTCCTTGCATCCTGCGTCCTGTCACAATTTGTGAAACTAAGGATTTTGGATCACAAATTCCTGTAGTCGAAATATGGTTGAATCGATCTCCTTAACGATGAGCCTGCTGCCAATTTATTTATTTACCTCGTTATGCACTGAGTTTCGGGTCCTGAGCATTGTCAAATGAAACTCTGTACCTCATCTGATTCACTTCAAATTTATTTAGTACAATTTGCATATTTGAATGAGCATTGCTTCAATTCCTGACAATAATTGTGCATCACAACTAGCTCATGTGCCATCATGTCAATGTGTGGTTTTGAGAATGGATGCCATTTTCTCCACCCTTCTCTGAAACGAACAGATGGACAGAAGAGCTTACCATACTCTTCAGCAAAACTACCTATTCAACAGACTGTTGTTTCAACATCAGGTAATCACCATGAACCAAGTCAAGGAAAAAATTAAAGCGACGAGCGCAGCAAGAAACGGCGGGATAGAAGACGGCACTTTTTTCTAAACGTGAATTATTCAAGTTCTCATATGCTTCTCTACGATCATCGATATTTTAGCTGCGAAAAACCGCACAAACACTCTGGCAATCTGTGGGCGTACGCCATTAAGCACGCTATACATGTTCTACTACCTTTATGATTTGTGTGCAAAACTGAACTCATCTTCAAATACGGTCCACATCAAAATAAGGCTCTCATATGACACACTCTCACCCTGCACTAACAAAGCATCAGCAAATTCTTTTAGTTTAATGGTTAAGCAACAAAAATGACTTGTTAGTCTTTGTGTGTAGGGTATATCGATATTTCTCTTCTGAACCAGATGACTAACATAGTAAATTGCGATAACATTTAAGGAACTGTCCATCAACCTTACAGAGAAGATTGAAGGACATGAGGTTGGCATTGCAAATGTTTTTATACTGTGAAATTGCAACTGAGGTAATTAAGTCAAGCCGTTTCGTGAGCTCAAACACAGTGTGCAAGGAATTATAGAACTGTCAGTAATGCGAACTCAATGGCGCAGGGTACTGAGAAAACAATGCATCAGGCACGGTGCACATTGACTGAACGTGATCGAGAGTTCTTGACGTAACTGTCGAATACAACAAGGCGTATCGCTGTTTTTGTCAGCACCTCCAACCTCAGTGGCGTCCACACCTGGCACAAGAGTAGCAGGATACAGGGTGTCATTGACGTAATTCGAGTCTAGCAGATGCATTGGATATAAATAGTGATGGTAACTTAGAGCTACTCGTACTTTACAGCCTTTGCTTATTAACGTCATCATCTTCATCTTCATCTTCCATCGCCTCTTCTCCTTTCGGGTAGCGGACGCAGACGCGTCAGACAGTGCTTCCAACGTTCCCGATCCCTTGAAACAGTCTGAGCTTCGGCAAAAGACAAATGCAGTCTGGAACAGATTCCTTCCATATGTTAGCACCAGGTTAATCTTGGCCGCCCCCTGGACCTTTTACCGGTCGGATTTGCAAGGAACAGTTGCTTAGCCTTCCTTTCTGGAGGCATTCGCAACACATGC